TCGTTGTAAGTGAATATGTAGGTTGTTTGTTGGATTAATGTTAAAGCATTACAATAAATTCTCTGTACTAAGTATACACGGAAAAGTAAAAATGGATGTGTTGCGCATATTAGGACCCGGACTCTACGGCACCTCAACGGAGTGGCTTAGCGATTGCCAGGGAAGAGAGCTGAATGGGTTTATTGTTGGCATGCTTGGACAATGAGAATAATTGCCATTTAGAGACAAGATAAAGGTTGTAAAAATGACATTAGATCGACAAAAAATCAGTAAACCAAGACCTGACACATTAAAATATAATTTAACATTATTTTTAAAATGTAACAATGTCAGATATTTCCCTGACAAACTGCAGTGATCAACAAATCATTTTAAAATGCCATTCTTCTTAATGAAATGCAAAGCGATGTTATCACGAGAAATAAGTTCCTTTTTCCGCAAGCTATTTTGAAATTATCAATTCAACATAATGTTTTATATTACATGTTCAATTTTGAACTAACAAAACACAATTGATGCATTAATGAATATCTTACTCAACAAGAACGACCTATTTAGTTGAAAATTAAAAACTTGAAAACTTGCAAAAATTATCCTTAGCCAAAAAAGAATTCTGAAATTTAAAAAAAATCAGAACTATAAAATGATGAACATTATGAAATAAAATTTTAAAAATATGTCACTGATGAAAACATACTTATGATAAATACGAAAGAAATAAGGAATAGATTTTCTTGTAAATATATACTTTAACCGATACAAGATATTTACATTAAATACAGTTGTAGTTTGTAAATCCTTTTGACTGAATTAAAACCATGTTTATTTTACATATTTGAGTATTATTACAAATTTTTTACATTTTTATCTACTTATACTTATTTCATTACATTTTAATGTATTCACATATCGAATATGAAAATATTAGATATGGGTTTGTTAACAAACATATGTGGCTGAAGTGCAATTTAATACTTTGGTATGACACTCAGGCCTTCGCCTTGAAGTGACAAACTTATCCCCTGCTTCTCGGGATTCGTGGGTTCGGAATCAAGCATATTTGTGAAGCAGAAGTAATCATATTTTTACTCTTTGTAAATGAAAGTTACAAAGAGTACAATCTAGAATTAAACAATACTATCATCCCATGGCTTCCATCTAATACACCAGTGAAATATCTTGGAGTTCACATTGATACAGGGGCGGTTCGTACGTATTCGCACGTTCGCATGTGCACACCCAAATTAATCCGGTGCATTTTCTCTTTAACATCTCTCAAAGAGTTTCGAATTAATTCATTTTTAAAGAAGAGTAGCGGATGAGAATTGGACGTAAAATAGCTAACCGTCTATTGGCTTCAATTACTTTGGATGAGATGTAACTGCCAATATAATCTTGTGTCTATAAGAACGCCAAGATAACGAATAGATGAGTTTAGAGATGACCAGGAAATGATAGAAGAGTCCAGATATAAGGGGTGAGGAAAGACAGGATACCTTAACGTAAATATTACTGGTACTGATTTATGAGAGTTAATTTTGATTTTCCATAACTGTGACCATTTTCCTATGTATTCAAGGTGATATTACATTACACTACATGCTGGGTTTAAGTTTCTGTTTACATAGAAGAGTGAAGTATCATCGACAAAGAGAGCTGTGTTAACTGTGTAACTAGTAGGAGTATCTGCAATTTACAAATTAAATAAGGACGAAGATAAAGGGGATCCGTGTGGAATACCATTAAGAAAAGCCCGAGGTGAAGGTGAAGAAATAAACGAGTTAAGACGTACAGAGAGCGCGCAATTCAATAGAAAACTTGATATGTTATAGAGATATAGCGGTATTCCAATTTTCCTTAAGTTGAATTTTAATCCATCATGCCACACTCTATCAAACACCTGAACGACGTCTAGGAAAACTGCAAGTACTTGAAAACCTGATTGAAATTCTGGCAAGCGTGAAGAATAATTTGCTGAATAGAAACAGTGTTGAATTGACTTTGTGCTTCATCACACAATGCACACTGCAAATTATCTAGATTGTTTTGAATGTTATCTATATGTACTTTTAGCCTAAAATTTGTACAGTGAGCTTATGGAGAATACTCCTCAGAGTATTTTGCAGAGTGTGAGTAAAAATGTTTTGAATTAATGTGTACAATAGAACTCTTGACAGTCCTGGAAAAACGGTTCTGGAACGTGGTGAATAGGTACGCGGTAATCTTACATTAGTGGTAAATATTTCGAAGAGGTCCTTGCCGAGCGAGGTATGCACGTGTTGTGAAAAGAAATGCGGGTAACCCTCACTGTTGATGAAAGATATCGCCCAGCAGCTTGCTATCAGACTTCATAAGCTACTGTGATTAATTTTCATTTTTTATGTTAATGAATATATATGTATGCTTGTAATGTATGCCTTAGTAAAAGTGTGTGTGTGTGTGTGTGTGTGTGTGTATGAGGGAGGGGGGAGAAAACGAGAGAGAAGAGAGACGTCGCACACCCAAATGGCACGACACGAGCCAGCCGCCACTGGATATAGCCCAAATAAACGCTAAGCAGTACGATTTAATTTCTCTTGTAAGGAGTAATATACGTAGTATAGAGATAGTTATGTAATACTGATGAAAATAGATTTCGATATTTCAACGGAAACACACGTTTTTGGGTCCCCTGAGACCGAATTTTTTTGTTTGTTTTCAAAACGCCCGTCTGTCGTCTGCGAATAGCACTGGCGCCTAAACTCTGCATGCGTACGATTTTTTCAAAACTGAACACACCTTAGTCGATCTGACCTCACGCGAAACTCTGCGATTTTGAAAAACATTCGTTAATTTTTGGGGGTACACTACATGAAGTTCCGGAGACATTTTCAAAATTTTCTAAAAAATGAGTCTAAATGTTTTCTTTGAATTTCTTGTAAGTATAAAGAGAAATACACTTATAAAAATGGAAATGGTGGTTTTCACTGTTAACTCTGAATTTTCAAAAATTGTAAAATTAAAAAAATGGCGTCTTCCTACAACTACAAAATTCAAGATAAAGATTTTTTCTTCAAATAAAATTTGTTCTCCATTAGTTTCTTCATTAACATCATGTACATTTTTTAAAAATTTTTTTGTAGATTTTGCGCACTATTGAGTTTTTAGCGCAATATTAAAAATATTAAAAAAATATTTCTGAAAAAAACTCCAGATTCTTTCTTTAAATATTTATACGGATAGTGCTAAATATACTGATTAAAATGTAATAAAAACAATTTTACTTTCTTAAGTTCTAAAACAAATTAATCCAATATTTTTTATACCCACGTATATAAGGAATAATACAAGTAGTTTACATAAAGTTACGTAATACTATGGAAAATCGATTTCCAGATGTCAACGGACACGTTTTGCGTCGCCTGATACCTATTTTTTTCTTCAAAACGTCCGTTATTCTATTTGTAAGTCCCTCTGTGAACACCTCTAGAACCTAAACCAATCGTAGGATGTTTTCCAAAATGCAAATTCCCGGTCGATCTGACTCAACTGGAAGCTGAGCGATTCTGGAAAATACTCTTTAAAGGTTGTGGAATAGTTTGAGGTTCTTTACATGAGCCCCGACACATTTTCAAAATGTTCGCAAAAATGGCTCCAAATTTGTTCTTTAATTTTTTTGAAAGAATAGAATGAAATACACTTATAAATGTGTCATAGGCCTGTTTTTCACTCAATTTTCGCAAATTTGTTAACTCTCAATTTTTGAAAATTTTAAGAGTTTGAATTTTTTCGAGTTATTCCTACTATTACAAAATTGAAAATAAAGATGTTTCCTTCAAGTGATTTTTTCCCATAGTTAGTTCTTTCATTAAGGTCACGCACATTTTTGAAACTTATAGTAGTTTTCACGCAATATTAAAAATAGCAAAACAAGATTTTCTTGAAAACTGGTCCAAATTTTCTAGCAGAGGTCATATACGCCATATTGTTTTATTTTTTTGTTTTTTCAAAAATTACAAAAAATGAATTAGTGACCTGGCTTACGTCTTTCATATTTACATTAGCGGTGATTTGTTTACATAATTGCATTGCGAATGGCGAAAAAGAATAATTGTGCTGCATCTGACAACAGGTTTTTAATTATTTATTTTCCGCATTTGCGTCGCATTAGTCTTTACCAAACTTTGCAAGGACGTAGCGACAATTCTCAAGAAGAGCCTCTAAAATTTGTTGTTTTGCTAAAAAACGCATTTTAATTTACTTACAGCACATAGAGATGTAACCAATTCGATACACTTACGAGTACATTGGTTAAACGCTGAATTACTATGCTTCGGTTTTTATAACGTGGCGCATTAAGGCCAGTCTTCACGAAGGACTATCTCACAAAATTTCGCGTCTTTCTCGGTCGTGCTAGAAGTCGCATGATCGCGGCCGTATCACGCAGTGCGATGTGTGTAACGGCACGACCGAGAAAGACGAGAAATACCGTGAGATCGTGAAGACAGGCCCTGACGTGCCACGTTCTGAAAACAGAAGTATACACGCTCTTTGCGGCATTAAATGAATTGCTACGGAATGATTCATCGGATTGGCAGAACATTAATATAATTTTGTAATGAAAAAACAATTTAAAAAAGTTTAAACCATATTTTTTCTCGTAATTTTCTATGTCCAAAAATCGACCATCTCGGCAAATGTAATTTTTTAAAATATATTTATTATGAACTTTCAAATCACTAATAAAACTTATTAACATTGTAATACCTTCCGGAGACTCGATGCTTAGCATTTCATAAATAATACTATATAGCTGAATCAATGAGTGAAATTACTTTTCATAAATCTCAAAGTTGACGGAAGATCATGTTATCTCGCTGCCTAAATTTAATTTAAGAAACAAAATATCAAAGCTCAATGAAAAATATTTATTATGCTCAACTCAGTTTATTATTTTTACAAAAATTAAATAAGCATTTTTACTGGACCCAAATACGAAAATAAATCAAAGTTATCTCAGTCCAGCGTCCCCAAATCACAATATTAATGAAGTCTAGATTCACACATTCACAGAAAGGTCTCTTGCTGTGCGCGATGATGACATTCGTTGCGCGGTACTTCAAGGCTATTCGATACGTCTAATGAAAAGGCAGTTTTACGAAATTTGCTTCGGCAGTTATTATTCTTACCCGATTATTTTTATTCCTTTATAAAAATATCTCAATTCAAAACTTCATGAATTCATGGCCTCTGGTTCCACTACGACTTTCCTGCTGCGAGGCCGAAACTGGTGTGTTACTGGGATAAAGGTTTCCCTTATTCTCATTCATTCTCAACATGTGCATCATAGCGCAGCACGGAGGAATATTGCTCCTTTCTGTCCTCTTTTCTTCTCTCTTTGATTCTATCTTAAGCTCCTTATCGATAGAAGGTTCATTCTCTTCCGTAGATTCTTTCTTTTTGTCCTCTTCTTGATTCTTCGATTCGTCGTTCGATTCATCATCTTCCTTCTCTTTTTCCCATTTGTCACTGAAAATACAATCAACAATATTAGCGTTTAGTCGTTTTAATATTTTTATAAGGCAATATTAACCGTAATTCAAGAACAGTTACCGATGTTGCGTTCTGTAATTTCTGAAGATCTCTCTCCATCGTCGAGATTTTTCCAGCAAATTTTTGTTCGTTGGTGTGTAATCATTTTCTTTCTCGGCATCACAGTCATCACTCATTTGAGCACTCTCGTCCTGGTGGTGGAAAGCAATATTAGCATCTGGAACTTAACATACTATAAAAAAAATACAAAAATGACAGGTATCATAGGTTACCAAATACATTCGCTCCACACTCCCTTTGCAGAAAACAATTATTGAGACTCCCTCTCTTGTAAAAGAGAAAAATAATGATTCCTACCTATAAATATTGAGATAATTATTCTTTGTTGAATAAACATATTTAAAGAGAATAACTTGTTTATCATGGGCAGTTTTCAAATTTTGCATTTGAGAAGTTGATTTTTTGATGTCTCTTGAAAATAATATAAGCTGTAATTTTTCATTTTAAGTAAAAATAAAATGAAAGCAGTGTTATGCTATGGATGAAAAATGAAGAGTGAATCTTATAACATTATTTAACGTTCAACACCCATCGCTCCCATTTGCAATTTAACGTATCTCCATTAAAAGTTTCACTGACATCTCGTACCGCTTTCGGACACAGTCATAATGCCCACCCAATGGCGGCTGTGTTCAATCAAGGAACCTGTGACAGGGACGTTTGAGGGAAGTGCCCACTTTTTGACGCATTCTAATATGGTCGAGCGTCGCCGAAAACTGCGAGTCAGATGAAAAGGAGTGCGAGTGGAAATGCCTCGGTCAATACAATATATGCAGTTAAGAGATTAGGGATAGTTTTCCATGAGTAATATATTTTGTTTCGCTGTCAATAAAAATATAAGAATTGGTGCAATTCGAGAAACGGATGAAAATCTTTGTTTGAGTGAAGTAGTAAATTTAATGAAACGGACTGACCTCAGTAACCCAATACCAAAAAGCCTGCGCTGTTCTCTTACATCATGCTTTTAATTAAACTCACCAACTAAATTTTAATCCAAAATTTGTCATAGATAATACTTCGAGTGTTTTGGTAATTTTCGATAAATCTGAGTATTTATCTGAGAACTTCTAAAGCATTAGTGATAATTAATAGAACTATTCCACGAATGAAATTATATCCAACAGAGCCCAATATTTAAAATAACGGAAAACTATGTTAAAATTAAAGAGGTTATAGTACATACGCGGTTTATAGGACATCGACATAGCGATCGATGTATACCGCCTCCTAAGATAAATGAGCGCTAAGATCGAGATCGCTAAGAAATATCGGATAGAAAAAGCGACAAACTTTATCAGATACGTCGCCCTGATTGGGGCAATTTGTATGTGTAGTTAAACACTATTAGTTTTAATTTTACGAGTGTAATGGTCTATGTAAATATTCTTAAAACGTAAGTCACGAAGTGCATTTTCCTTGAATAGCCGTAAAACAAATACTAGTTTAATGCAAAACGTCTCCAGTTAGCGGCTTAGGTAAATAATACAAGTGACTAGAACAGTACTGAAACAAATTTGCCAATGTTCTTGCAATAAATACGAATCATTTTCCCGCGTATCGTGCCGACAGCACCCCCGTAGTCCCCTTTTTTCATATTTCTGGAAATTTCTAGAGGTTTTGAATCTCAAGAAAACGTGCGCAGATTACACTTCTCTCCCACACGTCACGTACAGTTTTACTATTTTCAGGCGCTAAATCAATGCAATAATTGTTCACCGCCGGGGCTTCGGGTCCGCAGAGCGAGTCGGAGGAGGCGTGGCGGCGCACGTCCTTGGCGCCGTCGCTCTCGTCCTCCTCGGCCAGCGCCTCCGCCCACGCGCTCGCCCTGTTCCGGCGCGCGCGCAGCGCCGACGCCAGGTTCCCGCACATCACCGTCCCCGACGTGAGCAGGCTGGGCGCGTCGGTGCGCAGCAGCGGCACGGGCGGCTCGCAGCCCTCGTCCACTGCGCAAACGCGCGCCCGGCCGCCCGCTGCTCAAGCACACCGCGCGTACGTTCGAAGATAATGCCTTCTGACTTCATCAGCAGGACGCCGTCATCCAATAAGGAACTTCGTAACGACTTAATTTTTGTTAATAAAGTTCCCGATTGGATAACCACAATTATTCACATGCAATAAAATAATATTTACATGCAGATAAAATGATTTACATGCAATTGCTTATGACTGTGCAAAGAGAGACAAGTAAAATTTCTAATACAACTTATTATGAATTACCCATTTAAATTTATGGCTGAAATAAACTGAATGAAAGCGACCCAATATGTATTGGCTACTGAATACCTTATTCAACTCTTTGTAACATAATTGAACAGTTCTTTATGGTACATGGATATTGTGCGGTGGCTTGTACTTACAAGAAGTGCTGGAAGCGCTAGTGGAGGCTGTTGACGGCCGTTTTTTACCAGAACATTCGCCCAAACCGATTTTGCCGAAAGCTGCAGATGCCCGCGCAGACTGCACCATTTTCTTTACCTGATAAAAAAAATAGCTAATAAGCATGTTTGCATATTTTCTCATGTGCATATTTCAATTCAAAGTGTATTTACCGTTTTAGGGAGCGGAGTGCTTGCTCTTCTTTCGACGAAAGGCATTCTTCTCGTAGCTACGTACCCAGAACTAGTGGAAGAGTCGTCATGTGCGCTGTTCTCCTCTGACATGTGTCTGGACAGGTCAGATAGTTGTTTCAATGAGTTATCGCCCGACGAATTCGCGTTGTTGAACATTGAATCGTTCAAATCCTCACCTGAAGCACTTCCGTTTACAGAAGGTGCCTGATAAAATAATTAAAATTCTGGTGAGCGTTGTGTACCGTAAGCATATGATTGGTAAGCTCATGCGTATCGCAAAGGTGCAGATTTTGTTATTGGTATTTCCATTGTGCACCTATTTGTAGGTTATTTTCTATTTTCTAGTTCAATTTTTTCTTATTGTTTCTACATGATTTCTTGAAGTTCTCTATCTTAAATACAAGAAATCTACCTCCCCTTCGTTTGCTCTCGGATACACGTTTTCGGACTCTTCATCCACATCATCTCCACCATCGTCGAAAAACCCCTCCTCTGGAAGCACATAGGACAAGAAAATGAATACAAAGTAGAGAACAGACACAGGAAAACAACGGTGTACAGAAGAAATTTCAAACTGCGAGAAGATTGAAGATACAATTTTTAAGGACACTGAAGGGTTTAGGTATCGACACATTAAAAAAACGACTTATATTAGAAATTAACGGAAATATTATTTAGAGCATTATATTGGTTTCTAGTTAGATGATAAGAAACGACCAAGAAATCTACAGCTCGTTAGAAACCACTTTTAGTTTGTCTAGTTCAGAGATTAAGAAAGGTAATGAATACGTAGTGGTTGCAAAATGTCTTGAAGAGAACCAGACACCTTCGGATCGTACCTTCACTTTCCTCTTCCACAGGAACTCCGTCTAGAGATTGTAGCTGCGGCAGCATTTCTATTAAAGCATTCCTGTATCCTGGGAGTCTTGAAACGGGACATCCGGCCAACGAAAGCTTTCTGAGATCGGTGCAAATGGACAGAAATCCTATGTAACCGATATCTTGCACAATGTTCCTGTTAGACATTATCATCACAATTCAATTAAAACATAAACAATGTATTAGAATCATTCTACCTAAGACAATAATTAATACGAGTGCCAGTATTTTTTTACTTCAACCGTAGAAGAATTAAAAATAATGGCATTCGTTATGTGGGACTTGTAGTTGTGTGGAATTACCTCTTCAAGTCTATTACTCGAATATTAGGAAGGGAAGTGCACATGCTGACATCGTCGATTGTGTTGTCCACTGCGTACAGCTCCTTGAGAGTCATAAGCCCGAACGTTCCGTCCAGGGAATCCAAGCCGCAGTTCCCGACGCTCAACACCTCCAGAGACGACAAACCGCAGCCCAAATCCCTGCAGCACAACGACGGATCCACAAAATTTTCAAGGAGTGATATTTAAGTTGTGTTTATATGTTGGTTTTAGATGATTATCTATACTAATACACAAATAGACAATGACGTTGAGTCTCAGTACGATAATCTCTGAATGTACTGAACAAATATCCATGAAACTTTTGTGCCAACTTCCTTTGATGGTTAGGAGTACTATAGCCTACGATTTACCACCATAAACCTCAATATATGTACAAAATAATTACTTTTTTGGTCTTTTTCGCGTAGCATTACATCAGACATTTAAGAGTGCATCAATGTGTAATCGTTTAGCTGTGCGTCGCTGGAGTACGACGACGGAGATTTATGATAGAGTTCATCAATGAACAGAATTACTTGTGTATACGATAGAACGATTTATATCACATTCTATTGTCTAATCCTGAATGTTCACGTTTAAGGATGTTTATAACAGTTTTGTTCCCACTTTATATAAAAGTAACTTGAAAATTGATTTTAATTGCAACCAGGGGAGAATGTATTAATTGTACGAGAAATATAAAACTATTGTAAACTATTAATTTTGCCGATGGAAGTTCTTGTCATCAAAGGTATGAATGCATTCCTGTGATTTGAATGATATAGCTGTTGGTTTAGGTGTAGTAAATTATCTTTAAGACGTATTGACGGATAGCACGAGTTAAAGTGAAACTGAGTAAGAAATATTTACATGTTAGTGCTAAAACTGTGAATGACGGAATGAGATTTTGTAGGAAAGTGTTTTATGGTACTGGAGAGTAAAGTTGAGCCATTAGGTGGTGTAGGAATTATTACTTAAATTGATGATAATAACTTTGAGCAGAGGAAGTAAAATTGAGGTAAAAGAATAATGGGGAACGGGTATTCGGAGGAACTGAACGTGTGTCAACGCTGTTTTTCAACATTGTTGAAAATGGAAGCAAATTGCTATTTTAGGTAAATAGAAAAACGCCTGTCAAGCCAAAATGTACAGTGATCGTGAATAGAGATATTACATTTATCTAAGGTTATTGGCTAGTTATATTAATGTAAAGAATGGATATTCAAAGATGTAGAGACTTACGTTAAAATTAGAAGGCGTTAGATCACAATATTATACAAATGCAAAAGTTGCTCTGCAAGGCAAAGATGACATAAATTCAATATTTAAAGTCATATTTAAGATTACATTTGTCAGATTGAGAATTTCAATTTCTATTTTACATTTAACTATTTTATGGTTTTAAATATTCCCGTTTTCTAGTAATTTCATTTCAGCAATCTGTATTTTTATTTCCCGTAGCAATGTAATGCATTCGGTAGAACCTCGGATAACTCATAAATACTCTCTCCAGTTCTTATATCGACCGTCAGATGTCTCTACACATCAGCGTGAGTGGCGCGACGAGCGGCGCCTCTCCGTACCTCAAAGACCCGAGGCGGCTGCCGTCGAGGTAGAGCTCGCGCAGGTGCGGCATGTAGAGGCAGAGGCGCTGCAGGCTGGTCTCGCGCGCCACCACGCGCACGCGCACGCTCTGCACCGCCGCCAGGTCGTCGGTGCCCGTCACCTGGCGCTGCGCACGCACACACGCACGCGCACCACATTACACTTCGAAATGTCAACTCGGCCTTCAGTGACCATCGACTCCATCTTGGGTTCTCTGTCGCTCTCACAACGAACGCTGCAAAATATATTATTGTAATCACAAGGTTAAACACGATTTTTGGTAAATAATTCTGAAAGTTTACCGTCTGCAAGTGATACATATTTTTTAACTACTCTCATGGGCGTTCCTTGTGGGAGCACCGAAAGCTATTGGCTCCTTGTGGGAGAACCTCAAAATGTTATTCAAAATGCATTTTACAACGTCAAATTGAATACAGTAAAATCAAATAAGACACATGATGATATAGATATTGTGTAATTGAAATAGTACATACTTGACAAGACAAATACACATCCTACAGACATTTTATTGCAGAGCCCACAGTTGAAGGACTTATCGAATGACCTTTAGGTCGATTTCGCGCACTCGGCATATTCGGGAATCCCTTAACACTTTCCCCTCAAAAGGAGAAGCATACGTTAATAAACTTGAACATGTTGAATAGATGAATAGTATGCTTTAATGAAGGTATTATATCGAGACATTTTTTAAATCATCTGATTATCATCATTTTAAACCAAATTAAGTACCCTGCAAATGAACGACTTTAGATGTTAGTATTCCATGTAATCTAACATTATGACCCGCCAAAGGAAGTTACTAACTATTCTGTAATCTACATCACTTTTACGCTTCTCTATGCGATTATCATTTTCGTTGGAAGTGGCCGCTTAATACATGTGAATCTATGAAATGTGCCTGGATTCTGGTCGCGGAGCCAGGTTGTCGCTTCAAATATGGGATATTTACTTGTGTCTTTGGGAAAAAATCTATCGGTTAACTTTAAAAGTGGTTGGTAATGGAGGTGACCTCTTAACTGAGGTGACCGTTTGATCAGGTTTCTCTGTACTGTCTTGCTCTATAAAATACTAGTTAATGTTTAAGTTTAATTCGAAACTTATTTAGGTGAAAGTAAAGAGAAAATATTTTTCATTGATCGCCACCCTATATGTTCATCAATACTTTTTACACTGCAATAACTTGAAACAATAAAGAGTGCTTCAAAATTACAAATTATTTTTAAGCTATTTATAACAATCGTTCATGTTAAATTGTATCACTACTTCTGTTCTTCTTGTTAATTCATTCGAACACATTTTAATGAATGCAAGTAAAATGAATGAGAGTAATAACTTTCTTTCTAGACAATATATTGTAAAGATAGCAAGAAAAGGACTTCTAGAGTGTTTTTCAAGACATGTTTATGCAATCACATCTTTGTTTTTGAAATTCATTTCTTCCTACAGTAAAAAATTGATCAACTCATGGAACTCAGATATTAGACCAGTTTGGCTTCAGCAGAATGCACGGTACCTAGCGCTTCGTAGAAAAATGTTCCGCTGCTTCTCTCTACATCTCCGTAAAAGCATTGCAAATACAACTTCACCTCCCAAGAACGCCTGGGCTTACTGACTTAACGGTGGAATTACAGCGAAGACGAACAGAGCGCCTAGTGTGTGCCTCTCCCAAGATATATCCTGGTCCGAATTTAGGGGGTTGGACGCGAAGATCAGGAACATTTTGACACACATCAGTCATCAACCATTTACGTTTTACTTAATTGTACACATGTACCTTCGATGACCCGCAGTCCAGCAGGCATAGCCCCACGCTCGTCTTTACTAAATCTATTCCACTCGTGAAATTAAAACCAATGGAGTTTAACTATGCATACAAAATACCCCATTCAGGGCGGTGTATCTGAAAATGTTTATTGATTTTTCTATCCGATTTTTCTCGTGGCTTCTCCCTGCTGGCCAATCATATACTGTGACTCATCTAACTTAAGAGGCGGTATACATCGATCACTATGTCGATGTCCAATAAACGGCAAAGGTACTATAACATCTTTGATTTTCACATAACAGTTATTCCCAATATAATATATAACATCTTTGATTTTTACATTTCAGTTATTTTCAATATTTGGTGCATTTTAGACCTTTGCTGGGCATAATTTCATTCGTGGATTAGTCTTATTAAATACCATTCGGTCTTTGGAAATTCTGAGATAAATCACCCCCTTGCTCCGCGAGTCGACAATTTTCAAAGCTCTCGTAGTTTTACCTGTGATAAACCCCATTGTAACGAGATAATGCTATGCTGGCACGATGATGAGGGATGCCCATATGCTGAAGATGAAGGTGTAAAGATAACTGAATGAAAGGCAGAGGAAACTGGAGTGCCAGCTTCCCCACTTCAACCATCAGCAAGCCGAGATCGTTCACGTATTTTGCACTGAGTGACAAACCTGTCTAAATTCAAGCTAAATGAAGTTACCAAAAATGAAATGTCAAGAGCTCTTGCAAAATGTAGTCACGAGTAAAATTAGTAATTATAATTGGTTTTCAATTAGGGATTAGATATATTTAGATTAAAAGTTACATTTATATATAGCTTTGAAATACTAAGATATATATTTTCTACAGCAGTGTTTTGGACATTTTTATAATCATTTTTTTAATCTGGCCACATCCAAGTTCGCCAGGCCCTTGAGATCAGACTTTTTACAGAATAAGAAATATGAATGAATTACTTTCTACAGTTAACTTGTTCTTTTGAAACCAACATTTACAGGTATTGTGCTCATAAAATCCTCGAATGTATCACATTAGTGTAATAAAATTGAATTGTAATATGTAAGAAGAAAACTTTTCCTCAACCCACTTTTGTCTTGTTCTGAGAACCTGCGAATGCTTAAGGGTTACATTTAAAACCAACTCGTGTCGTATGTCATTTGTACTTATTCATATCGCCCTTGGAACGACCGTTCTGGAAAGCACCCTCATCGGTTTCCAACGCAGTCGCAAGCGCGCATATCGATCTCCCGTGACCGCGTTTGCGGTCGAAACCGCTCGCATAGTCGTCGTTTACGTTTTGAAATACGTCACGGCAAGGAGCTTGGAGTCACCCAGCGTCGCGGTGTCGGGGCGGCCGGCTGGCGGAGGCGGCGGGGTTGGAGTTGACGGCGGCGGGGATGTCGCGGGGGTGTACCGGCACGGTGGAGGGGATGAAGGATAAGCCGCGGTGTTGGCCAGGAGGTGGCGGGATTGTTGTATGGGGGGGGGGGAAGCCAAGAGAAGTGACGGGGAGGTAGCGTGCGGGAGGGCTTGAAAGGTAGGCGCTTCCACGAAAGTCAATGAAAATGACCGCAAATAGCTTTTCCTTGTCCGCAAAAGACCCATCCAAAAAGCTGATTAAGAGCTTAATTTGATATCTTTATCAAGAGCACACCACAACTAATTACAAAAATTTATCTCAGACTAGCAATTTCGGAGGTTTCACTTTAGTACAAAATACTTTAATTGAACGCATTTCACTTCTATGAATTTTTCACAATTATTTGAAAAATTGTTGATAAATTACACATTGTGCACGAAATTACAACGAAATGGTTGATGAAATAGTGCTGCATATAGAGTAAGTAGTTTTGTAAGTATTTTAATATTTGCTTTGCTCACAATTATTTATGTGAAGCTAGGGTTTAAGAGTCTGTAAATATTTTAAAATTGCACAGCGTGGCGTCTGCGGCGGTTATTTTCATGTTGAAATTTTATTTGCGCTTTGCAAGTTCATAATAACAATATTTAAACATATTGCAAAGTTCTGGATCATTCATTTTCGGGCATAAAAAGTTACATGAAGAAGTAGTGAGAAAAAGTCTTCTTTAATGAAAAAATTGGTTTAATTATCATCAATCTGGCGAACCAATTCATAAAACTTCATGTAAATGACTTAGACTATAGTAATTTTGAGCGTTTCCTTGATACTCATACATGAATTGACACCACCAAAATATGAGTTTTTCTAGAACTTTTACATAATATCTTAGAGGGAATCCTCTAATCAAATGAAACTGAATCTAAATCGACATCAACTCGAACAAATTCGACTACAAATCGAAAGAAACTGAATGAGCTGTTGACCACATCTGTAGGTGCCGTAAGTCATTTAAAACGAGTTTTAGTTGCTTAAGAAACAAAAACAAACATGGTTTTAGAGAAATTTTCTGAGAGTTTTCGGCAAAAAAGTTCACCACCAGCAGACCAAGATGCGTTGTTTGCCTCGATTACTGGGCCAGAAGGGGTCGGATCTTGACAAAGAACAAATGCAAGTTGCTCGATTACTATACACGGATGGAAAACAATATACTTTAAACATATTGAGTTATCTATCTTCATATCTTCAATAGAAAATAGTTATATTGTTTTTACAATTTTTGTCTATTTATCCGGTGTAAATTCTGGAACGACTGAAAGGATTTCAATTAGGGTTTCACTGAAAGAAAGGGTATTACTTATTGGGCATAACTTAAGCTACTTTTAAAATACGATTATATTATTTTATCTGTAATTTAATTTTTCATACAAATCTGGTTTTACGTTTCATTTCATACAAACGTTACGTTTCATACAAATCTACGATATTAATGCAATTTTGAACACGTACCTTTCAAAAGCAGTTACGCATGCATTACATTTTATCAAAATTACTCCTATCCTCTATCCTACACTTTCGAATGCACTATTTCAATTTTTTGTCAATATTTCGAAAAGCGTGTGGATGTATATCACTACATTCCTAAATGAAACGTTTTTTAAAGCCCGTAGATTTTTGCCGTGTCGATGCAACAATGCATATGTTTACAACTGCCCCGAGCCACAATGGTGGTGGCAACTATGATTGACGCAAACATGTTTGGCAAGACGGGGCGGAGGGAGATGGCAGGGTGGGGAGTGCAGAGACATATCTATGGCAGACACGCCATGGGCGCCTTTCACTAGGGGCGTTATTTAGAGTATACCCGCTAAAACAAAATATCAATCTTAATTTGAAGTATCTTGATAGGGGCGCAAATTATATGCCTGCCATGGGCGACTGAATTCCAAGATTCACCTCTGGGAGAGTAATTGAGCGGAACTGGGCAAGTAGGGTGGAGAAGGCCTGGATGGCGCGGGGTAGACACCCTATATACTTGTACAATGCACTCCTTTTCCTGCATAATATCTGACTGTGATTTATAAATAATCGGGCAACGCACGGTACTTTAGCAGTTGATAGGTATGAAACTAGAATGGGTGCACTTCAAATGTATGTATTCATGAAATAGAAAAATAAATAGATAAAATTACTAATATAATTCATTATAATATAAATACATTTTTCTGATGTAAAACTAATTAAAATATTAACGAATATTTCAAGGTTGTTTAATAGCTTCATATTTCAATAAACATCATCTTCAAGAGTCACGTCTACCATTCACATTTTTCACAAAGAAGAAAACGATTTTCAATTTCTAGAATGTAAGAGGCAGACAAAATTAACTCTCTCTATTATATAATTTGCTCTTTAATTTCAAGAAATTTTTATAATCTCCCATATTTCTCAGCCTTCTTCTCTTATTCTAATGGACTTGGTGTGGCGTAGAATTAATGCCTAGAAATTGCAGTAATCGCGTTTATGTTTTACCATTGCACCAGATTTAAAATGAACGTTCTTCATTGACTTCGTACGTATTTTGGGCAAGATTTAAGCATTCCCATTAGATTTTTGTGAAGCCCTTGCGTTGCAATCATCCAGCCAATTTATACATCATATCCGTCTAATATTTATACACACACATACTTTTAGGGATAATTTATTTTCAAGCTACAGTGTATTAGAATGTGTCTGTTGTGCAGAGGATAGGTTGAAAATGCTTTAGATAAGAAAACGAAATTTCTTAGAAAATTTAGAGCTCAAGAATATTTCAGAATATACTGTTTTCTTGCTAAGATTCAATCAGAAAATGTGTTGGAAAATTGAGAAAATTATCATCACAGTAAGAAAGGGCAAATATTCAAGCAGTATTAAAATCACTTAAGAATAAAAAATCGTCCGGCTGCGATCAAATGTTATTCTAGAACATCTCTCGCAAAGATCCATCGCTTTATTAACCTCCATTCTAAATGACTGCCTTCGATTAGGGTATTACTCCCCTGCTTGACAACATTCAATTGCTATCCCCATTCTCAAATCAAATCTGAACAGTTACAGACCCATAAGATTATTACAAACCGTCTCAAAACTCTTGAAGCTCATCTTTATTCGCATCAAAAAATTCTTAGAAGAAATGAAAGTTATACCCATGTGCATATTTAGTTTCCGCGTACAGTTTGTCACCATCCATTACGAGTTTTGGAATCCACAGCATAATCATTTGAAGAAACAAATATATATCCGCTGTCTTCTTGAACCAATCACAGGCGTTCAACTGTGTATAGCATGACGATCTTCTGTATACGCTCAGAACAATTGGTATTCCTGATAACCTTTACTATATTATAAAGGATTTACTCAGCAACAGATTCTATTCTGTAAAAATCAAGAGCTCCGAATTCCAACGCTTTAATATCAAAGTTGGGGTACCACCAGGATCCCACTTTCTCCTATTCTTTTCAATATTTTCACCTTAGATATCCCTGTCCAACGATACCGGCACAGCTTTTTTACGCCGATGATACCGTCGTAAATACTTCCAATCCCAATATTTTAGATGCCATTTCATTCTCACAAGGAGCTGTAGACAACTTCTGCAAACGGTCAGAACTGGAGACTAAACTTAAACCCTTCAAAACGTGAAGCAGAAATGTTCGCCCTGAAATGCATCGCTGACTTGACCCCACTAAAAATATCCAATAGTCCAATATCTTGGCCACCGAAACCCAAGACTATTAAATGTATCGGAGTTTTATTACAAACCCAACTGACTTGAAAACCTCAAATTCTCTCCCGCTTAAATCGAGTCTCTGCCACTCTCCGTAAAATAAACCCTATGACAAATAGGAAGTCCTCCCTTCACACAAAAATTTCACTATATCTTCACAAAACTCTACGTCCTTCTCTAACCTACGCATGCCCCGTCTGGAAAGGCGCTGCTTGCTCTTCCATCAAACATCTACAAACCTTCCAAAATAGTGTCTTCAGTATAGCTGTAAATGCTCCATGGTATGTTTCAAACAATACACTTCATAAAGACCTCAATTTCCCAACAATCTCCCAATAATTAAATTTGTTCCATCTCCCAATACGTTTCCAGAATCTCAGATAAGTTATACTGAAAACTATCCACTTTTCCAGCCCTGAACATGTTTCATCTAAGCAGAACGTCCGAACTCCTACAAACAAGAATCCACTCCTACTCTAATTTATATACAATGAAAGGTTTCCAACAAACAAGTGAATATAATTCCGCACTGCTATATGGTTGAAGAGAATCCTGGAGGAGACATCCTCCTTATTAGTAATAATTTGAATATAGTCATACATACTATATGTGAACATTTCTCTGTAACTATTCTGTAAAGTGGTTAATCCACTGCACCATAAAAACAATAAAAAATCAGTACAAGAATAGTAGTAAAGGATTTGCTCAATGCTAATTTTTAGTCTAATACGAACGTATCGAAATAGAGGAAATAAAACAGAAGTATCTAATCTCTACAATAATATGTATAACACAGTGTGTGGACATATGAAAAACACCCCCCTGTTTTCTACTAAAAACGTAAGAACCATCCAATGGATATCAACGCGGTTTTCACCCTTATTTATCCTGAAGATCTCAGTGTTTAACAGTGACATAAGTATTAAAAATAAAAAAGTTTCCTCCTCTTGATGCATGAAAACGGAATGCCAGGTTTGAAGAATGAATCCACGTGTGCGGGGCCTTGTCGGGATGACGATGCCCGGAGAGGCGAGTAGAGAGATCTAGGGGTAGTCGGATGGAATGAGGTACAGTGGGGTGAGGTGGAGCGAGCCGGAGAAGGACGGGGAGGAGAGGAGCAATGAAGAGAGGGAGGAAAAGCAACATAAAATGATTCACATTCGACACTCTTGATGAATTCACACCTTTTCATGTCCAATAGATGGTAAAGATAAATAGCTGCCTGAGAAACGATGAGTTATTTCAGCTCATTGATGAATTAATATAAAGTTGTTGGACACGAGCGATTACATTACATGGAAGGAAGATATGAAGAAAAGTTGCGACAAAAATACTGAACATCCTTGAATATACATATGTTTTATACTTATCAAGATCTTTGCACATACATACATGGGTATTGTTTTGGCTATATATTATATATTATATATTATATATTATATATTATATATTATATATTATATATTATATATTATATATATAATTGATAGCCTCAACAATTGTTTTAAGGATTACAAACCACGATGTCCTTTAAGCAAGACCTCCATCCATTTCCCGCGAACTTGCGAAAGTTACACATGATGCCACCTTCCTGTTTATATTCTAGCCGCGAATTTTAAACAATACAAATTTTGTAACTTTTTATTAATCAAGGAAAGCTGCGAAATATTCAGTCTTTAGTGACCTCTATTCCTCGTTAAAAATCGTACACCTGGAGCTCAAAGGAGGGCCATGAAAATCGTTCTCTTTATAGGTTTAAGGTATAAGATAAATAAGGTCATAAATAAATAATCGATAAGTAAAGAGATAAAAAAGTAATCGATAAAAGCCAGTGGAGGGCGGAGCTTGTGCCGCCGTCTACACGCGCGCCACGTGAATGGGCCTGATCGATGGCGCAGGGCGGGGCAGGTGACCTACCAGCAGCTGCGGCAGATTGTGGTCCACGGGCAGGTAGTCGGGCCCGTCGGGCTGCCCCAGCGGGTGCGGGTTGACCCGCACGAAGGGCGGCAGCACCACGGGCGCGGACGGCGGCGGCGGCGGCGCGTGGTGCTGCACACACACGCCACACACACGCGATACGGTCACCTCTGCACGGGCATATGTGCATCGTTCTGAGCTGAAGAGCACAGCTCATCGTACACCTTAGGTTCATAATGATGTTGGTTGTATTTTAGATTCAATGTACCAACCATACGTCATTTAGAAATCGTGGAATTATATTAGGAAACCGTTACTAGAGTGAGAATGCTGTTCTAACACCATAACACTTCTATCGCGATGGTATTACTATTAAACTCTTAAAATATCGGCGCTTATGCCGAGACTATACACAATTATAAAAATATATATAATACATTTGTGACTCATCGCAGACATGACGTCAGCAGACATCCTCTTCAAACGATTCCAATTCGTAATGGTAAATGTTCACCGGTTTCAAACGGTTCACCGAGGTGCCGGGCCCGAAACCGTACTGTGGCGGATTTTCAACGCGACCAACATAGCTAGGTCGAATTCAGCCAGTGCCTGGAGGACAATTCTAGCGACTGACTGCTCTGATCTTTAGTTTTCTGTGCTTTCTCAGATCAAATCCAGGCGGATGTCAGTCATACTATAACAAGCGGGACACAGATTGCCCGTGATATTTACTTTTTCATCCATTAACCTTGCTCTTAACACACCCACCCACTCGCACACCAATACACACACACGCACACACACACACACACACACACACTTGCACTTACCACACAGTAGGGAGCTTAGAGCTTGTCCTGACTGGTGTTGTGCTGAGCGGGGGGAAAATATGTGGAGAGGGGGAACACCCGCGTGTCGACGTTTGAGTCGGCTTAAGTAGTTGATATACCAGAAATCAGTAAATATTCACTCATCTACACACAACAATGTTTCCCAAATTTGACTAAGAAAACAAAAAAAAAATTCTCCTAAATTAGAAAATATTTTCTACAGTAAATGTACTACTTATTTTGGTTTTTATTCCTTAACGTGCCTGAATTGAAGGAAACGGTTAATTACCACGATAACAAAGAATGTGTTTAATGGCACTGATCACAAAGTAAATATATAGCCCACCAAAACCCCGTAGAGATCAAGCAAACGTACGCAAATATTTAATATTTATTTACTATCAAGAAGCAAAGCAAAGGGCAAGTCAAAGATTTTGTCAACGGATCAGTTTTGTGCTGAAGACCCCAAAGATCAGCAAGAAACTGGGCACAAGACGAATTCAAATCCCCCGCAACGATTTCTATATAAAGCGCTGGAAATAGAAGAAAACTAAGTCATCATGGTGCTACTTCTTAGTATCAATTCAGTTAAGAGCTTTAAACATTTGGTGGAGGTACTCACCTAGTACGTCTTAAAGTATAGGCTTTTAGGATCATGCAGAGGTAGATAGGACCCTGAACCCCTGCTCTTTTATACGTCCACTAGTTGACACAATCTTTGGCTACGTCATCCAGTGCACGGCCGTTGGGAATGTCCAAAGGTGGGTCGGACCCTGAGCCCCTACTCTTTTAGCATGATCACTACTTGGGAAACTCACTGGATACGTCCTAAATAAGTTTGCGTAGGCTTCCGTGGCCGGAGTTTGTGTTGTCTAGGCTATCCCGGACGAGCCGCGTCTCTGACATGGTGGCTAACGTTTCGGCCAGCGTATTGTGGCCTTCCTCAGAGCGTACTGCAGACTCTCTGAGTATGCTCTGCAGTACGCTGGCCGAAACGTTAGCCTCCATGTCAGTGACGCAGCTCGTTCGGGATAGCCTAGATAACACGTTCTAAAAAACATTTTTGAGAACATCCAGAGGTGGATAGCTCTCTTAGCACGGTCACTAGTTGTCGAAGTCACAGGGTACTTCCCAAAACATTCCACCTTTGTGAATGTCCAGAGATAGGACCCCGAGCTCTTGTCCTCTTAGCATGGCCACTACTTGGTGAAATCTTTGGGTACGTTCCAATGCATATGTCCTTTGGGAACGTCCAAAGGCAGATGGGTCCCCGAGTCACTGAGCTTCAACTGACCTGATACGTCCTAAAGCGTTGGCGGTCGCCGTCATACTCCCCGGCGCCGTCGCCCCCGTTGTCGTCGTCGTCGTCGTCGTCGCTGTCGCGCGCGGGGGCGGGGGGCGTGTCGGGGCGCGGCGGCTCGTCCAGCATGGCGGCGACGGCGGCGGCGAGCGCGTACGCGGCCGCGGGCTCGGCAGGCCCAGCGGCTGGGCGGCGGCGACGGAGTGGCGGCGGGCGACGGGGACGCGCCCCCGGCCGCCGCGACAGCCCGCGCGCCCTGGGCCGTCGCCACCCTCGCCCTCCGCGCCGCCGCGCGGTTCCCCGCCCGCCTCTTTGCTGTGCGGGGCCATCTGCAAAGGGATTGATTACTTATTAGTGATTCCAGGCAGGACAACGGCTAAGGCCATTAGCCCGTAAGTGCAGCGCATGCTTTTGCTCGGGAGGTGGCTGTGATTATTCCCCGCTAGATGGCGAAATCCGGCGCCAACATACTTAGGCTAGCGGGTTTTCCCCAACCAGGTATCTCCCACCATAAGGAATGCCTAGCCGGGCTCCAGGCTCCAGGCTCCAAGCATATGGTCCGGCCGGACAGCATATGGTCCGACCGGACTCCCGGCATATGTGGTAGTGTAGTGCATGCAAGTGTGCGTGTAAGGGGTAGAATAGAACCAAGATTGGAGGGAAAGATCGTGCGCGGTTCGTGGCCCATCTGGTAGCGTGCTGTTGCGGAATTTGCATGATTCTGATTGGAGAAACCACGGAAAACTACCCATCAAAGCAAACGGCCGCTACAATTCTCCTCCAGACAGTGACTGATCGCGACCTAGATAATCCGCAAAGGGAGGGCAGGGGAAGATTTATGATGATACTTTATCGTTTTTACTAACAATTTTATTTCGTTCTTAAAAGTGATACAGTTGCGTGGGAAATTATTTAATTTACGAAAGTTGGTAAAACTAAAACTCGAAATTGCCAAGTGTATGTCCTCTGATTTTTGTATCTTTTAGTCTCATTTTGTCTTATTTTGCCCTATTTTGTTGTTAATTGATTTTCTTCTCTTTAAATATTTCTTACAAAGTTTCGGAGATTTTCTTTCAGGCTAATCGCCGCTAACTAAATCGACACCGGCTCGGCCGGTGGAGCTACCAACTTATCTTCATTTCCGGCACTAATGCATTACTTGGAGAAGCCTCTGTTAGTGTCAAAGTTGCCTGTATTGTAATTATGGAAGAAAGCTGTAGTCATTCATATGTATATATACTGATTTTTCATTGATCAGTTTACTCGGTGTTTGTTCTGACGTGTATTGAATTGTGTGTTGTATCTAATGTATCTGTTGTGCATTCTTTGCACGTTTAAAATATCTTCATTAAGAACTACATAAAAGTTGCTGAACTGAAGTTCGTTGTTAGCATGAACGTTGTTAGCATGTCGGCAATTGTCTGCTGGAAATTAGTAGTTAACCTCACGCTAACCAAAAAGCTACAAACTAAAAATTAACTGCGCTAATATTATCTGCTTATTTACAAATATGTTACACAACAGGAAACTATAAAAAATTATTGCTTCTTAATTTACTAATTCACGAGTTTTCACCCAATTTAATAAATTAAATCATAAAACTTATGTTCACGTCGACATTTTTACCTATTTACTGACTCTGTCCAAGGCAATGTATTTTCGTTAGTAATCAGTATAATACTGTTCCTTTATGACCATTAAAATCTGGAATTAAGGTGATAGGACTCATGGTTTCCGAGCTATTCCCAATGGCAACGTGTGTATGTGCGTGAGTGTGTCAACGTAAATTGTGTTTTTAGTTGCAAGAGCACTTGCTGTTTTCCTTATATTTTAATCTGATAACTTGTAATTTTCAACCTTAATGCAGAACTAGGGAGCGATACTATCCAACGGGTTTTTGTCTCGATGCTTTGTTATAAATCGTACAAAACCTTTATATTTCCTCTGCATACTATAGTCTACAGAATATGAAGCGGTCGGGTTGAATTAATGGTATCGGACATTTTGGACGAAATCGATATTATTGACTTGAAGGAAGTAGCTCCGTATTTTCCAAATAATTTCAAGAACAAACAACAGGCAAAGATAACACTCTGGTACGTTGCAAGGGATGTCGTTCATTTCGTGTAAATCCATGGCAACACATTGCATTTCCTTGCTAAACATGGATGATAGTTATCATTAATAAAGCGAAACGCCTTCATGTTTGACCAGCATCGACCTTGCTTAAGTCAGCATTGGGAGAAAGTCAAGGCAACATCTAATGGTGGACAGGAGGTGCTTATGGTGTGACTGGAGGTCGTGGGTTCGATCTCGGCCAGATGTCAGAAATTAATTTGATGTATTGGCCACCGAATCGCGTTGTCTATCACTGTAGTCACATTCGCAACCCGGTTAACCCATGTGGGATTTGTGGTGAATAATTCGAGTTCTATGCATATTATCTCGGGTGCTCCCGATTCCCCTACCTCTCTTTTTCGAATCATTACTCCTTTGCCAATTTTCTCTGTGATATAATTACATCATAACTAACATGGTGAAAAAATGTTTTCCAATCACATTTTGGCACACATTTCAAATATTTAAACAGATAAAATTAATTTTAATCGTTTTTCATTGTTTAAAAAATGAAAAAATATATATTATAGGATGTTATGAGACACATTCTAAGACAAAAACAGAGACAGTACTGCAACCTTATCTCGTCGAAAATAAATTTTTAAAATTCATTAGTTTCTATTTGAATTTGAGAATCAAATTGGTTGACAAAATACCGTATAATTCAACTATTTCCCCGTTCTCTGCTATTTGTTTTAGCCTGATACATGCAATAGAAGCCGAGAAGAAAATAAAACACGTTTCTCATTTTATCAATGCAACATATTGCCATAGGAGGCTGATGTTTGGGTATACGAATATAAGAAATTTTTTATTTTCTTTTATATGAGTATCGCGATAATCTATTTGGTTTGGGGGCACTTTCACCTCTTTATCTGACTATCATTTTGTTCTCTAATGTTTAGATATATGAAGATAATTATTCTGCCACCTTGCAGCGACAACACGTCACCTGCATCTTCATACACAACTATTTTCTTCGCAATGTGTTGGTTTCTACAAAATTTTATTTCATTTTCACCGAATATTACTTATATATGCCATTGAATTAAAAATTCTCCCTTACGTCACACCTACACAGATTTTCTCAAGAAAGTAACAGAGGAAGCGCCTGAAAATCAGTTGTAATCAGTACTAAAATAAAGTTATTAATTTTGATTTTGGTGTCTATCAGTAACTGTAGAAAAATGTAAACTAATAACCAAGTCAGATCAGACTTGACAATATTTTCGCTGAAAAATACCCATTCTACTTTCATTAAATGTTCATGATGCTGTAATATTGTGAGTTGGGATGGTGAGACAATGCTAAAATTACTCATCAGAATTTCAGGTAATTCTTTCAACACCAAAATAAACTTGAATCTTCTAATTAACAAAACCTTCCTAACAGTACAAAATAAACTTCTGAAATCATATCTCTTCAATATTATGATATATATCAATATTATGATCGTTTTATTACAAAATAATTTACCTTCACTTAGACAACCACTCCAAAACATAGAAAATTACCAAAAATTACCGTACATTATACAAAAGACCTCCCAAACAATAGAATAAAAAAGATAAACTTTTAACATTAATCATACTACGACTAAGAGGTCCTTCGTAATGTTTCTACAAACAGTTTTTTTATTGATAATGCCTCTTGAACTGTTAATACTTTGATGAAAAACAAAAAATGCAAATTTTGACTATTTTCTAGTTTCGATGTAGAGACAGCATTGTGTAATGTGTTGTCAGATCAGGTGGGCTAATTCTGAATTTCTAATACGTAGTAAATTGTCTGGAACTATTTTTTGTGCTTTCGCCATTTGCCATACGCATAGTAAATTTCAAAAGAGAAATTAGAAATTTAATTAATGATTTACATGCGATAACTATACTTTTAGACAACACGTGCTGAAGGTAGAACAATGTTCAACTTTGTGAAAACAGACAAGAAATTAACATAAGGTAATTTTTGAAGTATTTGTTATATGGTAAATATAATACAATAGCAGAGAATGACACTTGAGAATTTCACTATCAGAGTACTGAATTCTAGTTTGAATGGTATGAGTTGAGTAATGTTACTTATTATATTATTGGATTTCAGTGATGTCAATACTTGAAATATATAATAAAAGCATTTTCTCTTAAAGCAACAATGTGGAACATATGAAATTATACGAAAAAAGGTGTTTTAATGTGATTTATAATTTTTACTTTATATTTTTAAACAGTATTAGTCCATTTAATGTTGTACACTGCGAAACAATTGTAACTTAGAATTTTAATGAGATTTTTATGCCACATGCAGTACAATGTCAAACAATTTTTTCGTAACTTTCATTCCAGAAACTCTTTCTTTATAGAGAAACTTCGCCCGAGAACATCAACTTTGTTTTTAATAGCAATCAATATAATTGATTCACATATTTCGTACATTTTTCCTGTGATATTTTTTTTATAAATGTAGAGAAAGAGGGAATTTTACCTCGAAACTACGGAACATCAATGTTCTCTCGAAGTTTATTCAAAACATTAACTATCAAAAATAAATAAAATTTATTCATATTTCATGAATATTAAATTTATTATGAAATAACTATTCAATTTTAAAATTGACGAAATAATTGAGTTTTTTTGTAGATTTCAATAAGCATACTGAAAGAATCACGGTCATCCTAAATACGTACAAGAAACTTCTAACAAGATTTTACAAAATATTACTGATGAAACAACCCTTTAATAAAAGTGAAGACATTCTCTTTTTCTACGCAACGACATACTGATAACGAAAATGTAACTTTTATTGTGTACAATGGGGTAAATTCTAAAATAAAAACGTTCAACGCTAACGCAATTTAAAATTAAAGTGTAATATATACATTATTTTTAATACAAATATCTACATTTTAAACGTTAATAACTGGGTACTACTTATATTATTTTCGTTATATCCAGAAAGCACAGAGGAAAGCATAGCACTGGAGAGACGTCTATAGAAATGTAATATAAAATATT